GCCATGTATTTCAATCGACAATTCCCTAACTTTTTGAAGAGTTACGAAAGTCTTTGCAAGCGTGTCAGTCGGCAACTCATAGAACGCATTTTCTACAGCAACAATAAGCTCCTCGATGGTTCGAGTGCGCTTTTGGTACTGTAGGCTTTGAATAGAATAAAAAAGTCCAAAATCTAACACGTTGAAATCGGGGCTGTTCGGGGGTTGGTTAGCCACTCCAATACCACAAACTCCATGTGCACAAGAGTTTTTCTGTCGTTGCATTTCTGTGTGGGCTTGCATTGTCTCGTTGGATCAGCAAATTACCCCGTCTACCACATCTAGGAAACATTTCCTGGATGGTGGGGGCAACCTTATTTAAAATGGTATTAAAATAAAGTGGTGCGTCGACGGTTTGTGGTGTGGTGATCATGGCGCCCCTCGGCCTGTTCTTGCTTCCACGCTGCGCTGGAGCCACTTGAACGAAGGGCCAAACACCAATCTTGCCGTCCCATTCCTTCTTGCCGTGTGGGTCATATCGCGGCTTGGCTACAGCGGCAAGGAACATCACCTTCGTGATAAAGCGCTTGGACTTGACCGCCCGAGCCGCGACCTCTTCGTCGTCATACACATAGTACCTACGTTTAACCTTCGTCAAGTAGAACCATTTTTCGTCAACATGCACATCTTCGTGCATGTCGTCGAAACCATGGCGTCCACTTGGCAAAGACCGAACGAAGGACATGGCGAACTTGAGCCGTTCTTCGACGTTCGCAGGGGTGAGATGGGGCTTGACGTAGTTGGACCGCGCCTTGAAGCGAGAATTCTTCTTCATGTGGCGAAATATCGTCGTCATTGGGATACCACATGCAACCGACAGAGAGCGCAAGGTCTGCCGTTGCATATGTGGCACGTTTCGGATGGCAGCTTCAATTTCGTCGCTTGTTCGGAGCGCATGGCGTCCGGAATTCCCTAGAAAAGTACATCCTCATATAACAATAATTGTGTAAACCAATATGAATATAGGTTTTGAGAGAATTACCTTTGGTTTTTGTAGCAACATGGGCGGCACGTTAGCCGTCGCGGAGCGAGAGACGCGCTTGCGTCCTCAGACGTGTTATCGTTCGCGGATGGCAGCGAAACTTTTGTGCAAGCTCAGTGAGAGCACCACGTGGCAGCACACCATCAATGGCGACGCTAAGGAGCGTTTCGTAGGCCATGCGGCGATGGGCGAAGCTCAAGTGCTTGCACACGTCTGGGAGGTCCCGGACGGCAACAGGAGCATCACCGGTTCCCCGCGGTGAACGAGGAGGCATGTAGTGGCGATAGGTGTGCGCAGGACGACTTGGCTATCCGATGAATTGTGGAATGGAGTGCTGGCGGGTCATTTTGTATTAGCTGCCCATGATCCCGGAGTTTTGCCGCAATATCTCAACAACCAAAATGGCTGGAATGGGCTGTAAACTACCCAATCAAAGCAGAGATCTTGCGCTCTCCAGAACGCCAATCAGACACTCAATCGGAGTACTATTAAAAAATGCCGCCAATCAAAAGTACAACATGACAAGTTTTGTGGAACAGAGTAATACACATTTTGGCAAGTAATGTGTAGTAACAGTTCAGATCAACATGAATTTTGTTCCAATCAAAATGAATTTCAATTGCGCGCAAGTTTGCGCGGTAACCACCACACATACAAATGAAATCGTGTTCATATTCCCATTGTCTTCGAATGAAGAAACGCAATGGACCAACAACCGAAGAAAAGCAGCGCGTGCTTGATGCGAACATACGAGGCGGCGACAGGAGGCTTGTCGCGCAACACAACGCCATGTACTCTGCCACAGCGTGGCGGGTTGTGGACTCTGGATAAACGACGCTGCTGTCGCGTGGAGGGTTCCGTGCGGGGCAGTCCAAGGTTACATCAGAAATTCGAGAAACCCTCGAGAGATATCTCGACGAAAACTGTCAATACACGTTACACGAAATGCAAAGTTTTCTTGCTTCGGACTTACGAACCAAACATCTCGGTGCAAACGACCAGCTGCCAAATCTTGGGCATGCTATACACTGTAAAAAAGTGCGCATCGAACCCGCTAATGTAACAACAGTATCAACAAGCAAGAGCGACGTGATTTTGCACTCAAGCTCAAGCAACACAAAAAAAACGGGGAACTTTATTGTGTATTATGACGAAACCAACTTCTACTGCAATCGGAGCATTGGGCGCTGCAAGCAAGGCATACGAGCAACTGTCGTACTACCACCGTCCAAGTGGCCAAAATTGCAAGGCACTGTGTCGTTTCAGCTGAGCAAGGTCTTGTCTGATACAAGTTGAACGTGGGAGCATCAGAATGGATCAAAACGCAGCATTCTTCGAAGAGGTCTACCAAGCGGTCAAGCAAATGGACGCGAGGCGGGGCCATTTTGCTGACAAGCGCATTGTCATCGTGTTGGACAACGCGCCGGCCCATTCGCAATCGGAAAATCGCTTAGTTCAACAAGAAGACACGAGCTTGCGTCGGGGCTCCTACTTGCCAATGTTGAATCAGATAGAGAGCTGCTTCAGTGTTCAACAAGAAGGCACGAGCTTGCGTCGGGGCTCCTACTCGCCAATGTTGAATCAGATAGAGAGGTGCTTCAGTGTGTACATGGCGCGAATCAAGTCGCACTCCACACCGATGCTATGTTTGAACGTGGTGAGTACGGGACTTTTCTTGAGCGTGGAATGGCCTTTCTTGAGGAAGCTGATCCACGACTCGGTATGTCGTGCAACACTCAACCGCTGGTGATCCACGAGATCCTGTTCTGTCAGCGGAACCTTGAGAAAAAGCGCTCCTATTGGAGACGGTCAATAGACCTCTTGTTCAGTGACTCACTATCAATTCACAACTTGTTTAATTCCATTTTAATCAAATGATGACTAAAAAGCAAGCAAATGATACTGTAGTCAAGACTCCCATGAAGGGAACTGATGAAAACTAATGATACTGTAGTCAAGACTCCCATGAAGGGAACTGATGAAAACTAATACCTATCAAAGTATATATGTAAACGATATCGAATATGAAAGAATCCTCCAAGACACAGCGAGAAATGGAGCGGCGAGTGTCGGACATGCGAAGGAAGCGCGCACGAACGATTCAAAATTCAAATTCAAAATGAGGGGAGCTGGACTAATGACGTCTATTCATTTGGAAATTATTCGCCATGCACAACGACGAGCCCAAGAGAGCTGTAAGGGAGTTCTTCATGACCTCCGAACAAAAGCTCACGTCGTAAAGCACGCACAGGCGAACCCAGACATGACACTTGGTGCGTTGTGTTCGTGGGCGTATCAAACACTGCCATACGAGCATTCTTGGCGATGCCATGGAAAAGCTCTTAGTGCTCTTTCGAAGCCTGCACTTGGATCCGACGTCCATCCGTTTCTTGACTCATTAGACATTTGTATGGGTGGATAATATACTTGAGTTTGTGTCGACTTGTGAACTTCTATTCCTCTGATTTTCTATATTCGAACCTCTCAAATTCGTTCCCTTCATGGGAGTCTTGACTGTACCTCTGTCCGGAAATAAGTGGTCCGAACAGCATTCTTTGAAAATGAAAGTGTTCCTGGTCGAAACATATCGATCAAAATATATGGGTGTAATCAGTACGGTGTACACTCCTCCAATCACAGCACTTCGAGCCAAAATGAGAGCTAATTACTTTTCAATCCGGAAGTATCAATACTTTAATCAAGCGTGTATGGACAATAAATCCGTATACTCGTTATCCGGTTAATTCCACTTTTATCCGTATGACTTGGTCACCATCGCCGGCGTCAACTCGAAACCTAACGAACGAAGATCGGACAGCCATTCTGCAGCAATTGCTTGCTCAGTACGAGAGAACAGCTCACTACCTCGTGGTGCTTTTGTCGACATTGCAGAGCACTTCAATGTAGCTCGCAGCACGGTTAGGCGTATTTAGCAGCGTGCAGGAGTGGACATTACCAACGTGACACGACCATGCAATGATGTAAGCTCACGTAAAAAGGGTCGATCTGGTAGAAAGTTAAAATACCTCAATGTTGCTGAACGACTCAAGACTATTCCAAATGCCCAACGAACGACGTTCCGTTCCATCGCTGCTGCCCTTAGCATACCAAAGTCGACGCTGCAAGAGTACTATCGTCGGGGAAAATTCGTCAAGTACTCCAGCACTGTGAAACCGCTACTTACCGATGCAAACAAAGCTGTGCGACTGCAGTGGGCCCTTGACCACGTCCATGCTGCCGACGCAAGAACCCTGTCGTTCGACCCCATGCTGGACTATGTCCACATTGATGAGAAATGGTTTTACGCCACACGGGTCAAGAAAATGTATTAACTGGCTCCTGGAGAAGCTTCACTCCATCAAACGTGCAAGTCCAAACGCTTCATCACCAAGGTAATGTTCTTGTCATTTTTTTAAATTTTTTTGATGTTCTTGTCAGCTGTGGCAAGGTCCCGGTGGAATAACGACAAAGCCGAGTGGTTCGATGGCAAAATTGGGACTTGGCACTTCACTGAGCGTGTGCCGGCAGCCCGCACAAGTCGCAACCGTGCCGCAGGAACGCTTGTGACCCAACCTGTCAGTGTGACCGGTGATGTCTACAGGGAAATGCTCGTCAACAACGTCATACCTGCGATAAAGTCGCGTTGGCCGGCAGGCGAGACCCGACGGATCTTCATCCAGCAAGACAATGCGAAGCCCCACGTTGCTCCCTGGGATGCGAGGGTTGTTGCGGCCTGCACCAGGAACGGATGACAAATGGAACTGAAGTGTCAACCACCCAACTCGCCCGACCTGAATGTACTGGACCTGGGCTTTTTTCGTGCCGTTCAGACGCTACAAGAACGGAATCACTCTCGGAACATTGACGATATAGTCTCTGCTACGAACCAAGCGTGGGCGGATGTCGATCCGATGACGTTGAATGCCAACTTTATGACTCTTCAAGCCTGTATGCA